TTCTGGCTGAGATCTGTAAATCCAAAGATCAAACTTAGAGCACTAAGTTTAAACTCTTCTGTTTTGGCACATTTGGGGATGCTCTGAAATGGGTAACTGAATATAGTTATTAGTGCCTGACTTATTGCAAGAGAATCTGTAGCCTGACTTTCCCTTCCAGACTGACCAGAATATTTCATTTTCCTTTCTCCCTCATATCAACAACTAATTGGTTGCTAATGGTTATAATATATCAAATATTTTGGTTATTCTATGCTACACATGCATGTTTCCTAAAGCTGCTTACTGTGGAACCAGTCAGTGGCTGAGTCTGATTTTGGGTAAATGAGGATCCAATGCAGAGCATACTACATACTTGTCAAATTCCTAGAGATGCTGACAGGAAAGTACAAGCAAGTTTACGCAAGCATGAGCAACCGTTGAAGATCAGAGGAATTCAGTGATGAGGAGGAATGGGTGTAATTCTGAAAAACACAGCGATGGGAATGTTGTCTCCTCTCTTAAAAACTGTTTGTTCTCAAACATAACACATAGTGAAACAGATGTTCTAAACAGAGTCCCCACTTCATGGTGCGAATGAATAAATTCTTTTGAGAAATAACCAGTGTTTGTGGAACACCAACCCACCAACATTAACACCTCACCTGATCAAAAACACTCATCCATGTTCCAACTATTCTTTTGCAGTTTCTCCTCTTTACTTCGAGGTATGAAATTGTCCTAAGGTATACTTCCACAGGTATTGGCACTCTCTGTGACTTCACTCAAATGAGCATTCTTCAAGTGAAGCCAGGTGGTGAACATTGGCAGGTTCTTGAACCCTGGTCGTGGTATTGTAATTCAGTATTTTATTGAAATTTATTAAATAGCTGTGATAAGTGGAGTGAGTAGGAAGTGGAAATTAGTAGTTCTGATAATTAGAGCAATTGTATGAGTGGAATTAGTACCACGACAGCTCTGCAGTTCAAATTGCAGAAACAAAGCTTGATCAATGAATTCCAGTCACAAACTGATTAATGACAATCCTCTGCATTCTCAGCATTATCCCTTTAATGAGTGTGTCATTCAGTCTCACTATTTTGGTAGCAGGGAGTCTGATGATGCATGGAAACAAACCCCCTTGTCAGCATAGTCTTCCATTCCACCAACGGATAAGTCTTAGGAAACATTTCTGCTTGCTGGGGACTCCTGCATTCACTCTCTCCAAGCAAGGGGAATGCATCATTCTTAGACTTTGTCCAGAGAACAGAAGTGCTGATTTGCAGAAATGAAGATGTTAGCTACCGAAAGAGCACATTGGGGTACTATTAGAATTGAACTAGCTAAAACTAATAGCTTTCCAGTAATCAACAGGACTCTTCCCAGAACAAAGTACTACCCTTTAGGCATTGCCTTGCAGGGTTATCAGGAGCCAAGTCGTCAAGCTGGTCATTCAGTAGTGCAATATTACGGTAGATAGACTTGCTTAACTCGAATATTTGATCACCATCGCCTCTACAGAATTGACTTGGCTCTTTGTTTACCAGGCATGTTATTTGCAAAGTTCATAACAGAAGTTATATTATGGATACCTTCAGCTCCTTTGCTCATTGCTCGAAAACGTATATTAGATGCAAGAAACTACACTGTTTATTTAATGCTGACCCGTTTGCGCTGTGCTGAGATTTGAACTGCTGTTGTGTTGGCAGCATGTGAATCCTTTCATTTACCCCCTTTTATCTGCTCAAGTGATGCTCATGAGTTTTGAATCCAGAGGGTGGTAAATTCCAGCTTTACATTTCAACATTTTCTTTTACTTTTGAATGAATTAATTGTTTTATAAGTCAGCACAGTGGGTTGTTTGCCAAAACTCTTCACACAAATCTTGAAAGGGTTAAAGCGCTTTCTGCAGGACTGAGGTTGTCGCTGTAATCAGCAGAAGGCTTATTTGTGGGTGCTATAAACTATAACCAAGTCAGCCCAATAGGTGATGACAGTGCAGCCTTTGCTGTGCATGTGGTTGTGTGCTGCAGTGTAAGGTGTGACTCAATATGGAAAAAGCTTGCTGCAAGTTTCAACACTTTGTGACACTGTTATCTGTGAATGACCCAGGATATTGCATTTGTCAAAAATCAAGGTCAGTGTAAGTCCTCAGTATCATCTAAGATCAGTTTTTTTCATGTTTTTGTGACATATGCTGAGAAATACATTTGATAAGTTTTCAAAGGAAAGCTAAGCAATATGGCAGTGATTAGTCTGGAACTTGAAATGCATGCATGTGTGCGTATATGTGCACAGGCCTACATGAATAGATTGGTCTAGGAGTCCTGTAGCTCAGTGGGTAAGAGCACTCGCCTCGCAAGCGAGAGACCTGGGTTTGATTCCTGGTGGGGAAAAGGTACTCAATCCACGACTGTTTATGGGACACTGCTGTGTGCATTTCACTACCATGTTCCGCCCACAAAACATACAGTCAATTCACTTTACAGTGATAACGTGCGATATCAAATGCAACAATTATAATTATTATATGCAATCCAGCTATCCTAGTGAGTATCCCTGTGACTGCCATCATAGATCAGCCAACTGTTCCTCCTAAAGAGACTAGCAACTAAATCTTTAATTCCTTCTATGTCTGTACAACCCAGGGATAGGTCAAGTAGTTCTACAACTGTTTGCCATGCAATGTTTTCTGTTTATTGGCATCTGTGTTTGGGTTTATTCTCTGCAATTTTTCTGTTACTTAGTTTGTACAGTTGTTTTAGGCCACAGTGGGCCATGATATGCCAGGCTCCCATTTGTCAATTCATGGTCCAAATGTCCCAGCTATATTTAAACCCATCTCTACTAGCTTCTACTTTGTGCAATCCAGTTATCTTTGTGAGTGTCCTGTGATTCAATATATTTCAACTTACTCCCTGTAAAGCTCTGTTATTCCACAAAGTGTATGCACCATTTATTTTTACTGACAATATGCAGTATCTTTCATTTGTCTGTATTGAAATTTATTTGCCATTGATCAGCTCAGGTGTACACCAGTTAAGTTTTTGTTTTATCTTGGCTGTTTCTTGCATGCTACATTTTAACTCTTCATTTGGGTGTCCTCTGCAGATTTAACACCCGTTACAAAGGTAATTTAAATACCCTATTCAATACCTTGACCTAGCTACTCCTTTGTTTCCTTCCCTTTAGTCCTTACGGTATCACTTGGCTCAATTGGTAGAAATCTTGCTTGTGTCAGAAAGTCATGGGTTCAAGCCCAATGTTGTGTAGACATGTTGAGGTATTGAATTGTTGAAGGTGCTGTCCTTCAGATGAGATGTTGGAGTCTTATAGCTCAGTGGTTAGAGAACTCGCTTTGCAAGCGAGAGACCTGGATTCGATTCCCGGCAGGGTGAAACCTTGGGCAAGTTTCCTTACTCCACACGGCTGAAAATGATCCCTCAAGAAAATAAAAACAATAATAAATTGGTCACTTCAAACCACAACTGTTTGTGGGACACTGCTGTGCGCAGTTGACTGCCGCATTTCGCCCTCAAATATACAGTCAGTTCACTTAACAGTCTATTCTGTGAAGTGCTTTGAGACATTTAGAAGATGTGAAAAGCACTATATCAAAATGCAAGGATGTTACCCCATGGTCCAATTGGCCTGTTTTTTAAGTGGAAAATAAAATTACACTATTTGAAAAAAATATTGAGTTTCCCTACTGTTTTGGCTAGCAATCTCCCAGATTTAACTGTTTATTCACCTCATAGCTATTTGTGGCATCTGGTTGTTTGCAAAATGGTAACCACATTTGCCTACATCTACTGGTAAATACTATAACATTTTTGACAGAGCTATAAAAATTAAGCTCATATCAAATTCAGGGATCATAATTGAGTCCACGTCTGTTTTCCTGTTGTTACTCATAGAAAACATTGGCACAAGAGAGGTGTGTTTGTGGGGGGTGCAGCGAATGGTCTTGATAAGATAGCCAGATTTTTCTACGACACACCTGCAATTTAAAAAGCCTCTGAGGAGCCAGAGTGTCTGGTCACCTTAATTCACACAGGAAAACGGACTTCACCAGACAGGTGGGTCAGTTCTCCTGTCAAACGCGCATTATAGATGAGGTATAATTAGTACCTGGAGCTAAGTATGAGAGTAACTCCAGATATCTGTGTAAATGAGCTCTCTGACCTCTACATTGCTTGGGGCGTTCTTTTGTAAAAGAGAAACATTAATGCGGCCTTCATTATAATGTGCATTATGCATGGTTCTCCAATACAGGCTTTCTGGAGAAAGCCTCCTGTTGTGGTGTTTCACTGCTTTGCATTTAAAGCTTTACTCTACCAAAGGATATCCAAATTGTGTGTAGGTTAGCAGTATTTGACACCCAGTTTGCGTAGCAAACCTGATGAATTCCCAATTTTGGAGTTGGCATGCATCGCCATAGGTCCATGCGGCACATTGATTCAGAGACATGTGAAGATAAAAGTGCAGATTACATGTCCCAAATGACGTGAAAGGCGTTATACAAGTTGTTGTTGTTGCAGGGAATTGACCCCATTTGCTAGGGGCATGGTTTGTAACTCGGAAATTGAGGAGTGTTTTATGGCTGCGTGGACCGCTTTGAATTTTTGCCATTGTAGGATCACCCACAGCATCAGTCAGGGCATGAAATTGAAACTGGAATCATTTGGTCTGAATGGCCTGGTGCTACATTGGGCAGCTTTTGTTCCGTTTCTTAGTTGATGGTTGCATACTGAACAAGGTAGATTGGGTGTGGGCATTTTGGAAGCAGCAAACATTTCTTTTCTTGGCTACTTATGAATGCGACTTAAATGTAACAATTATGACTTTTTTTTTTAAAAAAGTGAAAAGATGGAAAGAAACTTCCTCTAATTGTGTTCAGTAGTTTCTGCTGCCTCCAATCGCTTCTGACGTGTGTGATTTCCCCCCTCTCTGGAATTCCAGCAATCTCATTTAAAAGCCTTTGTTTGATTCCCATGGAAACAGGATGTTCAGGAATTGATTCCTTTGGATGCAGTGATGGGGTCAGAGGTACTTTAGCCATTCTTTGTTCAGCTGCAGAGGGCTCCTCTGTTGCTGCATTGACTGCTGGGGGCTTAAAGGGGGTTGAAATTCCTGCCCATCTCTTATTGAATGCAAATCGCCTCCATTCAGAAGTATCAAATAGCCCGTGTGAGAGTGGGGTGGGGATGGGAGCTGTGAGATCAAAATCGAGCACTGTAAGGGCAAGTCTACAATAAGTGTGTGAGATCCGGCTGCCGAGAGGAGCGCCAGTGCCGCCAAGGTCAGACCGTTGCAAAAGGTTAGTCGTTGTGGGTTCGAAACAGAAAAGAATTGCAATGCGAAACCAAAAAGAAAACTTTTTCTTTTGGAAAAACCTTCAGCAGTGGAAGTGTCTGGAGTGGAAATTTAGTAACCTGGAGGGGCAGGGAAAAGAAGACACGCACATGGGACTGATGAGTGTCTTCATACGCTCCCACATTATAGAGAAAGTAAGAGTGAGAGAGAGAGCTGCATTATACACAAAAAGGGAAGAGAGATGCACCAAGTAAAGGAGAAGGAAGTATACATGTAAGGAAATAAATTACACGGGGATTCATACAGAGCAGAGAAGGGGGTATATGAAGACCGGGGGGGGGGGGGGGAGAGGCGTGTGTTTGTGTGTACAAGTACAAGAGTGTTCGAGAAAAAACATACCCACGCGCACAGGATATAAGATATATCCATCCCACACACTAGAGAGGAATGAGATGTGCGGAAGAAGAGATAAGAGAGATGCATTGTACACAGATATATGCACACACAGATGAGAGAGTGAGTGTGTGTGTGTGTGTGTGCGAGAGAGAAAGAAATACAAAAGGAGTGATGGGAGAAAGAGAGGCATAAACAGTGACAGGACAGACCGACAAAGATACGTGCACATTTATACACACACTCACGCAAACACTGATAGGAAAGAGAGAGAGACAGAGAGGACAGAAGTGACACATTACATTCATGTAAAATATACTCGCGACGCACACACACACACACACACACAGGGAGGGACAAGAGGACGTGTGTGTGTGTGTGTATGTGTGTGTGTGTTCAACACAGATGGACAGGAGAGAAATAAACACACGACACAGTGCCCAGAGAGAGAGACAGACGCAAACACACACACACACACACAGAGGGAGCACAGAGAAGGAGTTGCACTCACACGCGGGGGACACGGAGAAAGATGTGTGAACGTGTGCACTCGCACATTCTCTCACAAGGGGGACAAGACTCACGCACACAAGGATAGGGGACAACTGAGCACTGGGTGGTGTGTGTGTGTGAGAGAGAGAGAGAGAGCTGCGGATCGGAGGGAGGGAGACAGCACTGTGTGTGTGTGTGTGTGTGAGCCGCTGCTCGGTCGGACTCGGCTCCTCTCGGCCGGACTCGGCTGCTCTGTGAGTCGGCCCCGGCGCTGCCGGTGACTTGAGTGCGCAGGTCCGAGGCGGCGCTCCGGCTGCTGCAGAGATGGTGCGGTTCGGGCTGCGCCGGCCGGAGGCTGCTCCAGCCGAGGGCACCGGGCGGCTTTAGGTCTGGCCTAGAATTCGAGCAGTCGGGTGTCGGTGTCGGGGGTGGGGGGGGGGGGGGCGGCTGCGAAGAGGCGGCGGCGGGTGAGTGTGTGGTGAGGGGGAGAGAAATCCCGGAACCGGGGCCTCGTTCTCTCCCGGCCTCAGCTCTCTGGTGGATCAGCAGCACCGGTTGGGAGTAGTAGGCCAGGTGATGCCGGGGTTGCAGGGCCTTGGCCGAGGGAGTGCCCGGAGGGGACCTCTGGATCAGGCGAATTTATAGCGTGTGTCGCGGGGCATGTACCTGGGAGTGATTGGGAGCTTCGGTGATACCTGTGTAGAGGGTCCAAAGCCACTGGCGGCAGATCTTCTCCAGGGGCTGTTCCTGGCTGTTTTTTGGGGGGAAGGGTTTGTGAGGAACTGAGATCCTGGTAATGCCTATTCAGAAGGGTCTGTGAGGACCCTCTGATAGCGCCTCCCACCCCAAGGGTTTGTCAGGAACTCAAAAGTACCTCAAAAGAAGGGTATGTGCAATAGCAGTGTGGAAGGGGCTGTGGGGGGTGCAAGGCTGTGGCTTGAGGATCTGAGGAGGTGAAAGCTGGGTTGGGTAGTGGAGAGATTTTGATCTCCCCCACTACACACACACACACACACACACACACCACCCGGAGTTGTCAATGCCAGCTGCAACAAGCAAAGGCAAGCGCTTCATTGCAAGGGATACACCACCATCAAATTGTTTTGTGCACCTCTTTCTGGTTGGGAAAAGTGGTACAAATGGAACCCCGGGAGCATGGACCTGACACTTCATTCCAGCAACTGCGTGGGACTGATTCACCCAGTGGTTGATTTTGTGTTCTGTAATCTTTGAAAAACTGAAGGGCATATTTTCTGCTTTTTTAACTGCCACTTTGCTATATTTAATCATTTGAATCTGTGAGTTCTCTGGTTCGTGGCGATGTCGTAACTTTTGCCCGATTAATTTTAAATTAATCTTTGAGATTGTGGGTTGGTATGTGACTCAAATTAGTAACTTTGTGTGAGATCATTATGCAAATGGTGTGAGTGTGCTATATGGAAGATTACTAAGGTGTGGGAGGCTAATCCAGATTTTCTTTTATTAATCTTTACACACAGCATCTGTTGTGGTGAAATCACAAAGGAGACTATTGTAGCCCAAGTTTGTTGAAAGGAACTTGACGATGGTGTGTTCATTGTGTTTATTGGTATGTAATACTGTGTAGACAGGACTTTAATAAGGGAGGTAAGCTTTATCTACACTTAATTTTGATATGATTAACTTTATCTTAACAAACTTGCATGAACTCTCCAATAATACCATAGTAACAAATTGATTTACTTTGCTTAATTAACTAGAAAATTAGGGGACACTCCATTATTACACACCAGTCTGTGTTAATTCAAGTGGACTAGATTCAATTGGTTTTCTGTTTGGGGTGGCGTGGTTGTTAATGCACAATTTCCTTTATTTTGACAACTTTATTTTTTAACTATGTGTTTAAATTATTTGTATTTTGTGTTTAAATCTTCAGTTCTGTTTGTCCAGTGGCAGTGTAAGCTCATCAGAGGGCAATACAGTGCCCCAACATTACAGTGAGCCTATTATGTACTCATTGGGAGAATGGCATCAGGGCAGGAGGAATGGCAACCTGCCAAGTATGCAGCTGCAGAGTCACCTGTTTTTTCGCGTGTATGTGTCTTGCCCCCCCCCCCCCCCACACCAGTCATTTTTTTAAAAATAAGGTATTCTACTGAATTGCTCATTAATCCTAAATAAATTCCTGGCACACCTACTGATGCCTCTTGATCCTTCCTTATGTTTTCAAGCTGCTGGTTATAAGCAGTCTGGGAGTAGCTGTTTATTTAGAATTCCTGCTGTGGTGGAATGGGATGGGTCAAAGGTTTGGTAAAACTTTATTTATGTAACCTGACCATGGTTTCTGACACAGAATATATGCTCAAAGGCTATGAATGCTGTAATTTAAAACAGTGTAAAAAAAACAAATTGAATTGAGGATTGCTTGCAAGTACAAATTCCCACTGTATTATTCAGCATTTATAATAATAAATAAAAACAGAAATCGCTGGGAACATTCAAATAAAAACAGAAGTCGCTGGGAACACTCAACACGTCAAGCAGCATCTATTGAGAGAGGAAAGTGAGTTAATGTTTCAGGTCCTTGCATTTGGTATAGCGCTTTTCATGTTGGGAGGAGGTCCTGTGGAGTGACTATTTGTGGGTGAACAAGGCAGCCAATTTACACACAGCACACAGTCATGAAGTGAATGACCAATTTTTGTGAGGGATTGTTGGCCAGTTTTCCGGGAGGAACTCCCTTCTCTTTTCAAATATGCCAGGGTTTTTGTCACGTCCACCTGAGCAAGCAGATGGATCCCGGTTTGATAGCTCATCTGAAGGATGGCATCTCCGATATACTTGGACTATGTGAGCTCAAGTCCTGACGACTCAGAGATGAGAGTGCTACTACTGAGCCAGAATGACATAGCCCGACATGTGTCACACATTTATGTGGCAGCTATACACTTCGGCCTGTTTAACGTTTGTCTGTTTCTGAAACAAGTCTTTCGTAAGAGTGGCTGAATTGTATCCACTGGTAATATGGCATAGAATGCATTATATAAAAAAACAGGTGCCACTTATCCACACTTGTTATTTTGGCTAGTGTCTTCAGCTGCTGAAGGGGCTGTCCTCATGAATCTATTGCTCATCTTGATTCTCCCCGCTCACCCCTCCCCCCGCCCCCCCCACACACACCAGTTTTGTTTTAAGGTTTTTGAGCACCATTTGGTATAGGAACTGTGCGCTGATTGTGAACACAGGTATTTTAGTGATGCAGATGTTTGCTCTTCAGAAGTTACTTGTCCAAACATGACTCTAGACATCTCAGAACTGCTGTTTTACTTCTGGTTTGCACTAAAGTTAAGTGCTTTAGCAATGGGAATACAGCATGCCTGAACAGAGGCTCGTCTGACCTTGATTTGTCATTTCAACTGTTCAACTTTTCTTAAAAGGAGTTCTGTTGATTCTTAGCCATTTAACAGTTGGTAGTCCTTGGGAAAGGGAGAGGTGACATTCTTTCTCCATACTGTACATTATATCTGTAGTGCAGGAATTATCTTTGGCTTTGTGAAGCAAGCATTCTTCATTCTGGTGTCCAGTATGTGTTAGGGATTCCCTGTGTGTCTCGACAACCTGTTAGATGCAAAAAAGAGAAGCTGAACTGAGGACCAGCTTGCCAAAATTTACTGTAAAGTATAGTGATTTTTTTTGTTGGCAAATGCAATTGCAAGTATTAAGTAGGATTATTTAAACTAGAGTTTTACCTGTCTGACTTTACTGGTTACTGCTTTGCCAATGTGATAAAACAAAAAATGTACTTAACATGCCATTTATACATGGGATTTTCTGGAGATAAATACTGGAAGGGGTTAAATAGAGGTAAACTGGTCTTCAAGTGCCCCCTACCAAGGACCTGGTGTGTTTTACACACAGACTGCGTACTGACTGTTGCAGCATGTTTGGTCTCTCTTGGCGGAATGCCTATAACCACAGTGGAATTGACTGACAGTTTGACATGATTCGTGGTAATAAAAGGGGTTTACTACAATAAAAAACTGGGGGAGTTTGAGCCATGGGGCTTTTGATCTTTTTGGACAGCTGCTTCCTTGTATTAACCCATTCCCACTGATTGTTTTCCTTTTTATTGTTTGGAGCCCATGGAGTTTTTCAGTACCACAAAACGGATACTCCATTCTACTGGTCCCTACTGTCGCACAGTATCATTAATTTGCTGGCATTTAAAGCTAGTGTTGAATTTTTTCTTCCTGTCCAGTAAAAGTAAATGGGTGATGGTGGGGTTGAGAAAAGACGTAGTGACCTGTTGACTAACTCACATAAACCTGGTTTCACAGCATGATCAGTTCCTGATCAGATCAAATGTGTCACTGCGTTGGCAATGCATTCCAGTCGCGATGGTCTGCACGATATCACTGCAGACAGGTTACAGTGCTCTGCTGGGTTCAACTCAACTTGCTTAAAGAGCTGCTCTTCAGAAGCCAATAGTGTTGCTCTACAGTAACCTCGCAACTTACTGTGGAGTTGTTAATGATTACCCTGTTGGGAGGTAGTGTAAATCTGGGGGTCATTTTTAAGTTTCTAAGAGTAGAAATTGTGTTTTTNAGCAAAATAATTCTTATGTAAATAGATATAAATGTGTACTGAAATCTAACGAACATAAGTAGGGGCAGAAAACTGCAAATAAGGTGTGTGTGTATGTGTATGTTGTGCAGTATTTTGGAGGTTTTGGCAGTGGTCTCTGGTTATTTGAGGTTTCTTTTGCTGTTGATTGCTGTGCTTCTGTTCATTTGGGGCTGACGTCAGCAGCACTTTTTCTAAACAAACCAGGCAGTATACCTGCTGCCAGTGCGCTTTACCCCACGTCCTGAGATCTAGGGAATGAGAGCTAAATGTGCCAATAGAAGGCAGCACCCAGTTGATCCATGTGACATCATTATGCAGATGTTGTAGCTCTACTTTTAACATCACTCTTTGCCATCTGGAGCTGCCGACTATAAATGTTTGTCTGCTGGTAGAATGGAAATGCTGATTTTTTTTTNCCAACACCCTTCTCCTTCATCCGAGTGATCATGATGAATTGTATTATTACTCCATCCGAGTGATCATGATGAATTGTATTATTACTCCATCCGAGTGATCATGATGAATTGTATTATTACTCAAGTCCCATTGCACAGTTTCTATGCCGTGAAATGATCGCTCCATTCAGAGCAAGTGTGAAGTCATCTCAGCCTTATTAACCATTGCACTTAGAATAAAACAGATTACAGGGAGAGCAGAGCGTGTGTAGGAATTGCTGTATGTACTATTGGTGGACTAATCTGGGCTACAGTGTTTTTATTTGATGTGATGCTGGAGATATTTTTATATTCTGGAGGGAAGAGGGCCTGGGAAGACTTATTAGGTCAGGTTGTATTTATAACTTCAACTGAGACAGGAGAGGGACAGATTTTTCTAGGGTCTTTGCTTGTCTGTCTCATGTCAAGCAGCTGTTGAGTAGATCATTGTTGTCTGGGTCTTTTCCTTCCTCTTTATCTTTAGCCCCCTCCCCTCCTTGCACCCCGCACATAGAGATGAGCTGAAACCTTGGGAAAGTGTTGAAGATTTGCTTCACTAATTGATCCAACCTTTCAATTTCTGTTCCTTTCAATATTCACATTCAAATGCAGGGAAACAGTACAGCAGAATGGTACAGCTTGGTGCATAGTGTGGTTACTGCAGTGATGTTTCATAGATTTCCAGATTTATTTTCCTTTTAAAGAGAAGCATTTGATCAAATAAAGGTCCTTTTAATCCTCCAGTTAAGCACGCTGTGTGACCCTATATTTAATCTTGCAGCTAATTATTTAACGTACAAGTAATAAACAGCTGTAGATTATCTTCCCTTTAGAAAAGTCCCATCAAAAGGAAACGACTAGCCATATTGTGCAACTGAGTGCTCGGAGATGCGTGAGGTGTCCCTGTATAACCCTACCAATGCAAATGACTGCTGCTTTTATCTCTCACGGAATTGTGGCCCCTTTTCATGGTAGCTCTTTACCACTGCTGACTTTGTGGATTTTTATTTGTGAAAGGGTAATGGATTGGCTAAACTTTCAATTCAATACATTTTACTGCAAACAGATGGTTTGCACAAGAACTATAATCCCTGGGCTGAAGGTAAAGATTCTATTGAGTTAAAGGCTTTACGAGAACTCATCAAATAAGTTCTATAGCTTCTAATATTGAGAAGAATCTGATTGGGAGAAATGCAAAGCTGCCAGTGTCTTCACAAGGCTGTATAGTATTTTGTGGCTGAAGATAGCAAATTGTTGTTTGGAATCTAGTATTAAAATGGTGCAAAAGTGTTCCCACACCTGTGGTCCCAATTCTATGAAACTGGAAAGATTTAGTTGTAACGTTAGCTGAAGGAGAGGGGTAACTGGGAAGAATCTTCTTTGGTGAAGGCAGATGACAATACAAATTACATTTGTATAGTGCCTTTCCCGTCAGGAGGACGTCCCAAGCCCTGAATCTGAAAACATAGCACACCAGGAGCAGGTGTGATTCAGATTCTTAGGGACATAGTTTAAGGTTAACTTTCTGAAGTTAACTAGTTACTGTGTGGCACAAATCAAGGATTTCCAGCTGCAGAGCAGTAAATT